AGTGAAACTTATCTTCCAGTTAACTATCACAGAGGCCAGAAGTAGAGCTGTGGCTCAAGTGGTAGAGCACCAGTCAACCTTGAGCAAAAAGCTCAAGGACAGTACACAGGCCCTGAGTTCAAGCCCAGTATAGGCATGCGCATGCACGCACACATGCACACATGCACACACACCCCAAACAAAAAGCCTCAAAAGGTTCAAAGACAGTGTGGGAAAGGCAAGCTATGATCAAGTTGTAATTGTCTTTGTCTAGGACACAGACTGTCTACTTCTTGAAAAGAATACATCAATGATCTAAATGGAGACTACATGTAATTTGTGTTAAGACTCAGCAGGACTGTCTCTCATTATATAGGCTGATTTTCTTTACCATGTGACATAATGTATGGATGGAGCTCTTGTTTCTATCCTTTTTAAATTAGATACACAAAAACCTGGAACCAAATACGACAGTGAATTAAAAAGGTTTCTCCCCTAAAACAAAATCATATTCATAGCTGGATAGAGGTGACTCACACTTGTAATCTAGTTACTCAGGAGGCTAAATGAGATCTGATGATTGAGGTTTGAAGCCAACAAGGACAGAAAATTTGAGACTCATCACCAATTAGTCAGCAAAAAGCTGGAAGTGGAGGTTTGGCTCAAATAGTAGAGCACTGCCCTTGAGCAGAAAAAGCCAAGTGAGAGCATGAGGCCTGTAGATCAAGCCCCAGTACCTGTACCCAAAAAATCATATGCATATTGTGAGACAGAAAATAGCTTCTTTCTGAATATCCCTCTCAGTTTATCAAGTATTAAAGTACAAAGGGGAAAGGTTAAAATTAATTTCAAGCTTTAAGGATGGGATCGGGCATTTAGCCTGGTCTCACTGCTGTTTCAATGGCAGATGTAAGATCAGGTAAATGACAACCCTAATTTCATACAGCATGTTGCTATGGGAATTCCCACCAGAGCCAAAAGTTATTTGTGGGAGCTCAGATTAGGAAGCAATAACAGAGGTATACAGATTATTTAACTGAATTTTACTTATTTCCCAGTGTATACAAAAAAGCAGGGAGATGTCTTAAGTCTCATCACCACTGCCTTAAACGTAAATAGTATTATCCTAACCCTATAGGTGAGGACACTAAGCGCCTTTCACAAGGTTATCAGCGTGTGCTTCAGTTTTCATTGTGTACTGCAGTGTTGACAGTATGGCATGTACAAAATCAGGGACCATGAACTTATGTGCCTACAGAGAAAGACAAAGAAGGTAATGCTGAGTGGTTTTGTGATGAACAAGAAACTGTGTGTTCTATTTAAAAGCAGCCTCCACTCTGATGGAACCGATTGCTGACAGACAGGTATGTGGATGTAGTACTGCCAGAACTTTAGATTTTATGAGAGGCTGGGTACCACACATTTTATTTTTACACATTTTATTATTTTACTCTTTTGTGGTGCTGGGAATCAAACTTCAGGCTGTATACATGCTAAACAAGTGCTCTACCACTGAGCTATCCTCCAGTCTCAATATTCTGATTTTTTTTTTGTCGGTTGTGGGGCCTGAACTCTGGGCCTGGGCACTGTCCTTCAGCTCTTCAGCTCAAGCCTAGCGCTCTACCACTTGAGCCACAGTACCACTTCTGGCTTTTCTGCTTATGTGGTGCTGAGGAATCGAAACCAGGGCCTCATGCTTGCAAGGCATGCACTCTACCACTGAGCTACCTTCCCAGCCCCAATATTCTGATTTTTAAATGCTGACACTTAAAACAGTTTGAGCTGGATTTGGCTCCTTGAATGACAGCTTAAAAAATCAGTGCTAAGTTATCTTTTTTTAAAAAACTGAAAGATTATTCAAGATACAATAGTATTTAAACTTCAGTATAAAATTTCTCTCTCTCTCTCTCTCTCTCTCTCTCAAGCCTCATCCATCCTGGGGCTTGAAGTCAGGGCTTGGGCTCTGTCCCTGAGCTTTTGTGCTCAAGGTACTCTATCACTTGATCCATAACTTCACTTTGAGATTTTGGTGGTTAATTGGAGATAAGAGTCTCATGTACATATGCCCATATAAGATGATCCTAAGTGAAATGAACCCCAAGATAGAGACACAAGAGGTTTTATCTTTGTTGCTGCTGTTTTTAATATACTATGTGATTTTTTTGTTTCTTTTGTATGTTCTTCCCCCATGGTATAACCCCTGTTGTCACTGTATTTGATTCCAGTGTATTTGATTCCTACATCTTGTATACACATTTTTATAATTTGGGGAGGGGAGGGGAAATAACAAAAAGCTGAAATAAGGATACAGGTTGACCCATTGTAACAATGAGATATACAAGACACTATGTTGAAAATGAACTTTACAACTTTGGTTGGGGGGGGGAAGAGTTGGGGAGGTGGGGAGGGAAGGGATGGTAGGGGAAAAACAAAGGAGGGGGTAACAATGCTGGATAGGAAATGCACTCATTGCCTTACTCATGTAACTGTAACCCCTCTGTACAGTATCTTTACAATAAAAATATATTAAAAATAACTTGCATTATGCTGTACATATTTGGTGGTTTTATGTTTTTACTGTACTTCAATAAAACTATTACAAAAATATATGTGTTATTTATATATACACATGTATATATAAGAGTGTGCATATATATACATATATACATATATATACACATACATATATACATATATACATACATTTATATATATATATATATGAGTCTCATGTACTTTCCTGCCCAGGCTGGTTTCAAACCATGATCCTCAGATCAGCCTCCTGAGTAGCTAGGATTACAGACGTGGGTCATTAGCACCTGGCTTCAGTATGAACTCTTAATTCACCAAAGTAATGAAGCTATGATAGGAAGGGACCACATCATTAATATTACTACAATTTCCATTGATCATCTATTAGAAGTACTCATAGTAAAATCAAATAATTGAAAACAAAGGCCTATTTCAGGCTCAGTGTAGAAGTACTAAGAAAGAGGTAAAACATAAATAGGTCATCAAAGAAAAAAGATCCCAGATAACAAGAGCAGCAGAAAAACCCAACCTTGTTTTAAAGTATTTCAGATTGGATGTATTTACATGATAGGAAATTAAAAACATGATTAATTCACACTGAGGCTTTAAAAAATGCGGTGGGTGGAAGTTAATGATTGTAACATTTAAAAGTAAGATTATGACAAGAGAAATTTATACTGTCAGCTTTTTGTATTTATAGAAAGCCACTTAATAATTTTATGTGCTTTGGGGGGGGAGCATTGGGTGGGGGGGTAGGAGGGGAGGCTGGGAAGGGATGTGAAGGGTAAACAAAGGAGGAGGCTGCAATGCTTGATAAGAAATGTATGCATTATCCTGCCCATGTAATTGTAACCCCTCTGTACAGTATGTTCACAAAAAAATAAAATTAAATTAAAAAAATAATTTTATGTGCTTTGATCAACAAATTAAGCTGTATAAAGTAAAGCTATGACCTACTGGTGGCTACCAACAGAATCAATAAAGTGCTTGACTTTTCATTAAAAAAGTCATAGAGTTGTAAATATTTTATTAGTTGTCTTTTTGAAGTAGATATGAAAGAAGGCAGGAAAAATGGAGAGAAAAAAATGAGTGTTTCTTGGGACTTTTTTTTATTATCTTAGTCAAACAATAGTATCATTAGTTATTTCCTCTACAAGGTGCTTGTAATTCTAAATATGATTTGTAGACTAATTATTATTTAAAACTTTAAACAAAATCATTAATGTAGAACTGGAAAAAGAACTTTACATAAAATCAATGTTTTCCTCAATGGCTTCAATTACAATTTTTAAAGATATTTTCCCATAGGAGAAAACTTTCTCAAGACAAAAATAAAATAAAATATTCCTTTGAATGTTTCTTTTCTTTTGGATAACTGTTGTTATAACTATTATTAACTGTCACTTATAAACCATTTTGACTTAACAGAAAACCAACTGCTGTGACTGCCACTTTCTCTCAGAGGGGGTACTTCAAACCAATAGAAGACCTATGATTGGTTCAAGCACCATCTTTTATTTGCATAATGGACTGTACCATGTTTGATACAAGCATGAGGGGACTTGTGATTGGTGCAGACTCCCCTTTATAGATATATAAACAGATTCAGTCAAGTCACTTTGTGAGCAGCTAGGAAAAATGAAGTTGTAAAGAAGACAAGATTAAGTCATCAGTCTTAAATTCATGACATAATTAATTCTATGCTATGTTAGAATGGTATTATAACAAGTTCAAAAAGAGGATTCCTCCCACCCAACTTGTAGGTTACATTTTCTTCTGTCTTTCCTTAGGTAAGAAGTGGTATAGCTTTGAAATATTTTAACTCATAGCTTCAGTGTTTTTCTTTTTTCTTTTCTTTTTTTCTTTTTAGAATAAGCAGTCTGGCCAGGTGTTGGTGGCTCATGCCTGTAATCCTAGCTACTCAGGAGGTTGAGGTCTGAGGATGGCGGTTCAAAGCCAGCCCAGGCAGGAAAGTCCCTGAGTCTTATCTCCAATTAACCACCAGAAAACCAGAAGTGGCGCTGTGGCGCTGTGGCTTAAGTGCTAGAGTGCTCACCTTGAACTGAAGAACTCAGGGACAGCTCCCAGGCCCACAGTTTAAGCCCCATGAGCGAGAGAGAAAGAGAGAGAGAGAGAGAGAGAGAGAGAGAGAGAGAGAGAGAGAGAGAGAGAGAGAAAGAGAGAGAGAGAGAGAGAGAGAGAGAGAGAGAGAGAGAGAGAGAATAGGCAGTCTACTTACATTTACATTTACTTAAACATAGCAAGTACATTGCCCTTAATGAAAATGACGGAAACTCATATGAAGTGATAAATTATATAAAGGCTGGACAAATGACTTAGTCTTCCTTTGGTTTTCAACTCTAAAATAAAGATAGCATTGATATGGGAATTAAATAAACCATTCAAAGTATACAGAAACCTCCTGGAACATAATAAGTATTTAGTAAGTATCAGTTCTTATGGTTATACAATAGAATGGTTATACTCACTCTTTTGTTGAGACAAATACAGGCCACAGGCTGCAACCCAGTGTGCAACAGCAACAGAGACATCCACACAGCAGCCATTTCACATTGACTGGGAGAGCCTTTTTCAAACATGCATTCACACGGCCGATGCTGGTCTTAAATTCTTCTGGGGCCACCTATAACAAGGGTACTATCTTTAACAATTTGGAGGCAGTTTCCCACTATTTACCTTGAATCCTAAGGAAAATGTCTCATTACAATTGCAAATGTCTCAATATATTTCTTTCCCATCTGTCCCACAAGTATGTATCACATATTCTTGGAAGACATCAGAAAGTAAAACAATAGGACTGAGGGGCATGGCTGGAGTGGTAGAGTATCTGCTTAGCAAGTGCAAAGTTCTGAATTAAAATCTCAGTAACCCCTCAAAAATGTTAAGATGATATATTAGTCTGGGATGTAGTTCAGTGGTAGAGTGCTTGCTTAGCGTGTACAAGGCCTTGTGTTCAACAGAAAGCAACAAAACTGAAAAGAAAAAAGTAAAACAATATCTTTTCATGTTCAGAACTTAGGTTAATATTCAAAAACATCTTCTGAAATGATCAACAATAAACTGTGAGCAATAGGCAATCTGGTAAAGGATATACATCAAGCAGTTTTGTTAGCAACATTGTTCACAGACTTCAGGTGCTCTGACTTAAAGTTGAATAAGACTGGAATAATAAATCAAGAATAAAGTCCCAGGGCTGGGAAGGTGGCTCAGTGGTAGAGCGCTTGCCTTGCATGCATGAGGCCCTGGGTTTGATTCCTTAGCACCACATAAGCTAAAAAGAAAAAAGCTGGAAGTGGTGCTGTGGCTCAAGTGGTAGAATGCTAGCCTTGAGCCGAAGAGCTAAGGGACAGCGCCCAGACCCAGAGTTCAGGCCCCATGACCGGATCCCCCCCTCCTAAAAAAAGAATAAAGTTCCAAATACTACCAGTGAGAACAGAATTAAAATTAAATTATTAAGCTATTATCAATATAATAATCCTAGATTACGTGTGTGTGTGTGTGTGTGTGTGTGTGTGTGTGTGTGTGTGTGTGCCATTCCTAGGACTTAAACCAAGGGCCTAGGTGCTGTCCATTAGATATTTTGCTATACTAGGGGCTGGGAAGGTGGCTCAGTGGCAGAGCACTTGCCTTGCATGCATGAGGCCCTGGGTTTGATTCCTCAGCACCACATAAGCAAAAAGAAAAAAGCCAGAAGTGGTGCTGTGGCTCAAGTGGTAGAGCGCTAGCCTTGAGCTGAAGAGCTGAGGGACAGTGCCCAGGCCCAGAGTTCAGGCCCCACGACCGGACCCCCCCCCCCCCCAAAAAAAAAAAAAAGGTATTTTGCTATACTAGTTCTCTACCACTTGAGCCCATAGTCCGACTTCTGGCTTTTGGGTCGTTAATTGGGATTAAGAGTCTTGTAGGTCCCATGGTTTCCCTTATTTGCAATAATTAGTATACGTCTAGGATAATTTTATCAGATGAGCAGAAAAGCTTAAAAGCTATGTACAAATGACCATATAAGATGATGCTAAGCGAAATGGACCCCAAGATAGGGACATGAGGTTTTTCTGTGTTGTTATTTTTAATGTACTATGTGATTTTCTTTTGTTTCTTTTGCATGTTCTTCCCCCCTATAGTATATCCCCTATTATCCCTGTATTTGATTCTGGTACTCTGCATCTTGTATATATATTTATCTAATTGGGGGAGGGGAAGGGGAATAACAAAATGCTGAAACAAGGACACAGGATGACCCATTGCAACAATGAGACTCACAAGACACTATTTTGGAAATGAACCTTACAACCTGGGGGGGGGGGAGGGGAATGGGGAAGGTGGGAGCAGGAAGGGATAGTAAAACAAAGAAGGGGATAACAATGCTCAACAAGAAATGTATTCATTACCTTACTCATTTAACTGTACCCCTCTGTACAGCATCTTTACAATAAAATAAAATAAAGAGTCATGGATTTTCTTGCCTGGGTTAGCTTTGAACTGTGATCCTCTGGGTCTAAGCCTCTTGAGTAGCTAGGATTACAGGCATGAACCACCAGTGCCTACCTGGATTACTTTTTTTTTTTCCTGTTGGTCACGGGGCTTGAATTCAGGGCCTGGGCTCTGTCCCTGAGCTCTTTCACTCAAGGCTAGTGCTCTACACTTTGAGCCACAGTGACACTTTTTTTTTGAGTGGTAAATAGGAGATAAGAGTCTCACAGGGACTTTTCTGCCCAGGCTGGCTTTGAACTGTGCTCCTTAGACCTCAGCTTCCTGAGTAGCTAGAATTACAGGAGTGAGCCACCAGTACTGGGCCTGGATTACTTTTAAAGGCTACATTTAAACTTCTTTCTCCCTGGAAAATTTGTAACAAAGCAATTCAAGGCTTGTCGTTGTTGACATGGAAATACTATACTAACAAATTATAATGTGCAATAATTATATTAAAAATATTTAAGATTCAGCATAAATTGGAATCATAACTGCAGTAAAACTTGATAGTCATTAAATATACAGATTTAATATTTTTAGATGATATCTCTCTATTCCTGGAAGTAACTGGTTGTGTCTCTCTACAGACAATGACAAAGTCAATTCAAAGGTAGAAGCATGACCTGCATAATAAGATTTATACCAAAAATTCTGCTTTAAGATTAGTCAAAGGTATACTAAAAATAGTTTTCTTTATGTTAAATCACATTTCTGGATCCCCAAAATGATTCTCTTGTATTTAGAAAGCTGTCAGACTAAAGTTTATGGGAAAATTTTTTAGCATCTGGCTGTGAAAACAAACATTCTGTTATTGTTAGGGAAAATAAGCTGCTGTAAAATAAAAGCCCGGTACTTTGTTAAGTATCACAAACAATACAGCTTTACTGTACCAAATAAAATAACTGGACTAGAGGAATCAATTTATGTTTTTCACTTGTTTTGGTCGGTTGTGGGGCTTGAACTCAGGGTCTGGGTGTTATCCCTTAGCTTCTTTGTGCTCAAGGCTAGTGCTTTACCACTTGAGCCACCTCTGGTTTTTGAGCGCTCTGTATAGTTTTTTGTTTTTTTCCGTCGGTCGTGGGGCTCGAACTCTGGGCCTGGGCGTTGTCCCTCAGCTCTTCAACTCAAGGCGAGCGCTCTACCACTTGAGCTACAGCGCCACTTCACCTCTGGTTTTTGAATGGTTAATTGGAGATAAGAGTCTCCCAGGGACTTTTCTATCTGCGATCCTCAGATCTCAGCCTCCAAGTAGCTAGGATTACAGGCATGAGCCACCAGTGTCTGGTCACATTTTTCACTTTTAATAGTAATATATTAGAGTCAACACTGCAGAACATTTTTATTAGCATATGCTGTAAAGATACATGTCAAGAGTTCAGCTGATTAAAACATCAAATATATAATCTTTATTAGAACTGTTTGTATCACTTGATAAGGTTAATTTTTTGGCTCATGAATCTCATGTTTGACCTATCAATCAATGGTTGTGAAATTAGTTTATTATAGGAAACAAGTAAATGAATTTCATTTTCCATCTATACTGTCAGCAAGATGACACAATGAAAACCACTATGGATGTTAAACAAAAATTTAGGAATTTGAAACATGTCTTCTCTAAGGTGTAGGTACTAGTGGCAAGGGGGCAGATGAATACGGGGGGGGGGGGGAATTAATATAGCCAAAATATATACATGTGTGAAAATAGAACAAGGCAACTTGATGAGCCTGGTCTGAGAAGCAGGAAGGGGAGGAAGAAGAGTGACAGAGGAGTGACTATGATCAAGAAGCACAAATAGACTTGTTAAAAGGAATCTCCCTTGTACAACTAATTGATGCTAATAAAAAAGAAAATCAGTGTGCATAAAAGTTTCCAACTATTTGTCACAATATGAGTAAATATGAAAATAAATTCAGAGAACTATGTCTTACTATTGAAAAGAGAAAAACACAAGCTAAGCACATTAGACAATAAATCAAGACATTGGTATCTTAGTTCTTACTAGCTCTGGAAAATCCTAGGGAAGATCAATTAATTTTTCTGAGTTTCATTTTCCTATCTATAAAATAGAATAATCTTAAGTTTTACAAATTTGCTGGGAGTTTAAATTATACCTTCAAAAGAAATGGACTGGAATAATTTGCAAAAGAAAGTGTGCAAATTATATTTCTGAATCAATTTGGAGAAAGAAAAAAAAAGCTCTCTTTTACATGAACTCTCATCTGAAGACAAGGGGTTCCATCAAGCAATTTTTAATATTTTGGTTTATTACATGTTATATTACAAAACAAAAGATAATCTGCTAGATTGTGAATGTAGATTTAATGCTCTTCAGTTCTTTGAGATCCAGTCCTCTCTTCCTCCCTCTTCTTTTCTGTGCTGAATCCAGGGATTTGTCCATGCTAAGGTACATGCCATACCACTGGGCATTATCCCCAGTTCCTTGATGTTCTTTTTAAAAATCAGGAATCAAGTTATTATCTAATGGTTGACCCCTTGCAAACAACAATATTCAATGTTTTTCCCCTAGGGAATCACCAAATAACCAAGTAGAATTTAAAATAAAGAAAGGGCTGGGAATGTGACTTAGTGGTAGAATGCTCGCCTAGATGCATGAAGCCCTGGGTTTGATTCCTCAGCACCACATAAGCAGAAAAAGACGGAAGTGGTGATGTGGTTCAAGCGGTAGAACGCTAGCCTTGAGCTGAAGAGCTGAGGGACAGCGCCCAGGCCCAGAGTTCAGACCCCATGACCGATAAAAAAGAAAAAAAAAAAGAAAAAGAAAAGCATGTATTGAGCTTTAATGTTTTATAAAACACTAGTATCAAATCTAAATTATGTACTCAGAAGTGATAGCACATTTTTTAAAAAACGTGAACTGTTGATGTAAACACACACACACATCATAAAATTACTAATGCTGCCCATTAACAATTTTAAAAGCTTATAACTGGAATTTAAGATTTTATTTTAAAGTAAGTATGCAAGCACAGATGAAAAAATAAATGTAAAGGGTGAGGTTAAATGAACAAATGAAAAAATGTTTCTAGCTCCCCTACAATATATGTGTATAAGGAGTCTTAGAATGGAAAACTCTACTTCTACTAGGGAAGAATGACTGAGGGAGACTTAGAGACAAAAAGGATAGAGGAAATGGA